ATCAAGCGGCTCAATGGCGCGTTTGTGTGAGGTAGTGCACTCGTCCCACACGATCAGCTTACATTGTTGCAATAAGGCGCCGCGGGCACTGCTCTTACTGATGTTGCACGTGGGGTTTTCATCGCTTGCCAGATTAAGAGGTAATTTTAACATTTTAATTTTTAACCGAATGTGCCGTCCGTCTATCGCTCAGCAGTGTTGCAGCGATCCCAGAGGACGCCACCGCTGATGCAACATTACGGTCCTTACGAATTTTTACTAGAAGCAAATTAAGCAAAAATGTTTTACCTGTACCGCCCGGGGCGTCAAGAAAAAAAGACTGCCTTCGCCAGGCTCAACTCGTTGTGTTCGGGTAGCAGGCGTGGTTCAGTTTCGCTGACCTGGGGGCCTAGACAAGTGGAAATCGCTCCGTGTCTATTCAAAAATCGATTTCGTCTTAGCGATATCGAACTGCTAATTGCTAGACAACGATAAAGAAAACTAATAACACGAACGATATTATCTTAGCAATGCGTAGACAAGTGGCACTTGTGACATTCGAAATCGCTGAGAAGTCGAACCCTTCATTCGACAACTTAGCGAACGCTTGAACCCTTTAGAAAAGCAAAACAACTGATTGTTAGTTTGTTAGTCAGCTGTTGATATTGTTTGCATCAATTCGTGATTGTTTCTCGTTTTTCGTAGTTGTTTTTTTTTTTTTTTTTGATAAAAATGCATACATTGCGTTTACTAAGAGCAGCGCATATGAGATGAATGAGACGTTTATCTTAAACTAGTTTTACGGACAAATTTCAATAGTAGTCGATATCTAAGCTTGAGGTTTCGGATTCGATCCCCGGGTCAGGCAGTGTTATTGGATTTTTCCGTTAGAAATTTCTCAGTAGCAGCTTGGAGTCTGAATTAAAAAAAAAAGTCCAATTAGTACTAAATTTTAATTTTTTTAAAGCAGTTGAAATTAAAGTATATCTAACATTATGTTAAAGTAGTGTTTACAGACGAATTTCAATAGTAATCGATATCTAAGCGCAGTAGGTCGCTGGTTCGATTCCCGGGTTGTGCAGTGTTATTGGGTTTTTTTTCAATCGAAATTTCTCAGTAGCAGCTTAGAGTCTGAATTTGTGTCCGGTTAACGGCAATAGTCTCACCACCTGTTACATTGGACTTGTTACATAATTAGCAAAATGTGGGTGTACAGTACAACTCTGCCTAACCTTCCGTGGAAACAGACGTCATGAATTACGTACCTATAAAGTATGTTCTAATTGCTCCATATTATCTTTACTCCGATAGTGGTCAAACCATATTTGTGTTATGTTGTTAGGATTACGTCATTGTTTACATTGAGCATTCTCAAGTGATATAAATCGAGTTCATGATTTAGGTGAATAATTCCTTAAAAAGGGTCGAAAGTTGTTCACCACTAGCTCCCACTGTTGGTTCCATTATAATTATCCTTAAGGATAATTATAATGGAACGAACAACGGGTTAACCCGTTAGCTCGCGAGGCCACGTAATATTGACACTCCCGTTCGCTCGCGACCTTAAAATGGCGGAAATGGGAAAATTTTCCCTAACTTAAAAATTTTGCAATATTTTCACTTTGAGACAATATTTATGGATAAAACTTACAGGAATTCTTCTTGAATGTATAAAGTATCGAATAAAATAATTTTTAGATGTTAGATATTGTAATAAAATTCATAAATTACCCTTCAAACACATAGTACTAGTAGATACTTCACTTTTAGTCACGAAAATATTATTAAAATAATTTCTACACGTTTGTTTTTTGAGAAATCTATATGAAAATGTTTGGAAATATATATTATTTTATGTTTTTATGTGTTTTTATTCGTAACCCATACAAAAAAAAACAAATAAATACGAGTCAAACATAACCCTTGTTTTCCGAAATTCAATTTTTCATATGAACTTTCAAACACTATTTCTCTTATATTTTGTGTGAATTTGAAATAAATACAACACCAAATTATTTGAAATATGTAATATAATTATTTTTTATTTACATTTTACAGTAAAAATAAATAAAAATGGAAAAATAACACATTTCTTACTCATCCACGAAAACGGAACTTTGTCACCATAAATCCACATATAACACACTCAAATATGTTTCGACACAAATGAAATATGTTTTGAATAGCTCATTTATATTGTTATTTGCAATAAACATATACAATTCAATGCACAAAACACAAAAAACAACAAATAAAATAAATTTGAAGAAATGTATGGAGCAAATAGTGATGTGGCGACGCTGGTATATATATCGATATTTTTTTTGCAATGTAATAGGCAATAATCAAATTCACCTGTTTGACTTTTTGTAATGATTTATATTGAATTTACAATAAATTTATATTTTTACAATTTTTGAATGACTTTTTATAGAACCAGCATGGTGGCGATCACCACATTGTACAATTTTTTTTTCAAATAAAACATTCTTTCAGTCAACATTCATAGCCATTCACACCCTTCTTGAACCCGCTACTGAGGACGAGGACAGGAGACCGGAGACTCTTTATACTGGAAACGAGGCATTCCATCTTAGTCCTCACAGGTCAGGTTGGGAAAGATGTAGATGTCTTAGGGCCAGTGCAACCATTTACCATCAGGTGAACTGTGTGCTCGAACACTTACCATCAGGTGGACTGAGTGCGCGTTTGTCACCCTTACCTAAAAAAAAAAAGACTAGGTGGAGGAGAGACCGGAGACCATTTTTACTGGAAACGAGGCATTCCATCTTAGTCCTCACAGGTCAGGTTGGGAAAGATGTAGATGTCGAAGGGCCGCTGCAACCACTTACCATCAGGTGGACTGTATGCTCGTTTGTCACCCTTGCCTATATAAAAAAAAAATTGTAGCACGAATGGGTCGGCTCGACCGGGGAAGTACCACGCTCTCACAGAATACAAGCTTTATACTGCTGAGGAAGAGGAGACCGGAGACCCTTTTTACTGGAAACGAGGCATTCCATCTTAGTACTCACAGGTCACGAGGGGATAGATGTAGATGTTTATGGGACAAAGCAACCACTTACCATCAGGTGGACTGAGTGCTCGTTTGTCTAAAGGAACCGGAGACCCTTTGACCCTTTTTACTGGAACCGAGGCATTCCTCACGGGTCTATAAACCACAGCAACCACTTACCATCATGTGGACTGTTTGCTCGTTTGTAACCCTGTCATTACAATATCCAATTTCATACTCGGTAAATACATTTACTGAGTATGAAATTCGCGGAAGCACTTTGATAGACAGAGCGGCAGTTCACATTCCTCACACTCATACACCGTCTTCGACCTTTTGTGTTCTTTGTGCTGGCACCACACGCAATTGCGTCGGCCGATAGTCGTGCGGTGCCGCCCCGTACTCCGCATTTCATCGGTGACGACTATGCGGCGTATGAAATGACGCTCTGTTAGCCTCCCTATTGGAAAGACAGAGGGTCTGCGCTGATCAATAACTGGGCGAGGAACTAAAGGAAGGTGGCGCTTTATAATGCTATCCACCAACGCCAACCGAAACACTACGGCATTGAGTTTAGTATTGGTTGATTTCTCAACAATGACCCTTGCGTTTTGAATAGAAATATTCAAAAGGCGTTTGAAAAGTTTCCGGTTCCATTTTAAACACTGTTTCCGCTCGACTAGATAGGCCTCCAGCATAGAGTCGAGGCGGTCTACTCCCCCCATGGCCCGATTATAATCTTTTATTATATTAAGCTTGTACTCTGCAGGGTGGCCCGGACGTCCAGGAACTAACTCTTGCGAGACGCCATGGTATGTTGAGATACAAGTCACTCGCTTGCGATCTTGTAGCGCAACAACCATGACGTCGTCGGAAGCACGGGCAATAAATTGCCCTTCCTGTAAGGGTGCACGTTTTATAGCTTCTGGAACCCCTTTGCCAGTCGGCCGCAGGGTACCGACGCAGTCTGTGTTGCGTCGTTTTAGCCAACGCGCCAGGGAGGGGGAATTAAACCAGTTGTCCATAAATAGCGTGTGCCCCAGGTTGAGGAGAGGTTGAATCAGCCTCAACACTGTGGACACGCTGGATGGTAACCCCGTCCCTGTCGTGCGGCCCGCATACACAAAAAACGACCAAAGGTATCCTGTGGCCGACTCGCACAGTTCGTAGGTTTTTATACCAAACCGGGCCGCCTTGGTCTTTATGTATTGCTGAAAGCTAACTGGCCCTTTCCAAAGAGTTAGCGATTCATCAATACATATATTCCGGTCCAGCTGGTATAACTCCTGGAACTTGGCATTCAGGTGGTCGAGAATGGGGCCCATTGGGTGCAGCGGATTATTTGGGTCAGTCCCATCGGCCAAATGAAATGCCGCATTAAGGTTCCAGTAGCGGGACTCTGAAAAGAGGGAGCGAAATACGTCGGTCTTCAGTAGAGGGTTCCTCGTAAAACAAGATTTAATGCTTGGCATTCTAATAATGCCAAGCATAATCCAGAATGCGAATAGCGTCCAAATTTCATGTAAATTGGTTTCAAACCAATCTCTCATGAACCTTGGACGCTGCTGTGCCAGAACCGACTCTGCATACCGGTTCGATTTCTCAACAATATGGGCCATGATGTCATCTGTCCAGATGGCATGCATGGCCTCATAAGGATCTCGAATCGAGACGGTAGGCCCAGTCGTTTCTGGAACAAATTCGCATTGCCTGCCATTCCACTCGTTCATCCCTCGCCACACAAATCTTTCATTCTCATTCCATTCCTCGCTCCCATTCTCTTCTTCCACATTTGCAGGTATTCTTCTCCTTTCATTCCGCTCCCTCCTAATTAAATAATCACGGATTTGCCCCTGAATATCCAAGGGCAAATCCGTGTCTTCCAAAAAAATATGCTCCAGAGCTGCTCCACGCATCCAACCCTCGCTTCGGCCACGGCCACGTCCGCGACCACGCCCGCGCACGGATGCGGTCCCTCGACGTTGACGTGCCGCAACCGGGTCCATCACTTCCACCCTGAAGCGGGGTACGGGGCCTGGAGCAGACTCTGGAGCAGGCACATTCTGTTGAAAAATGAACACGGTTTTATTGTGCTGCAAATATATATATATATATATATATATATATATATATATATGTGTATATATAAACACAAATAAATACTAGCTGAAACATTGAAAATTAAAAAAAAATAAAATATAAAAATTACATGACTGATGTTATATATAAATATTACTTACAAGTACATGCACTTCTCCAGGCACCTCTGGAGCAGGCACATCCTGTTGAAAAATGAACACGGTTTTATTGTGCTGCAAATATATATATATATATATATAAAAAATGTATATATAAACACAAATAAATACTAGCTGAAACATTGAAAATTAAAAAAAATAAAATATAAAAATTACATGACTGATGTTATATATAAATATTACTTACAAGTACATGCACTTCTCCAGGCACCTCTGGAAGCTTGCAGGCACATCCTGTTGAAAAATGAACACGGTTTTATTGTGCTGCAAAATATATATATATATATATATATATATATATATATATATATATATATATGTATATATAAACACAAATAAATACTAGCTGAAACATTGAAAATTAAAAAAAAATAAAATATAAAAATTACATGACTGATGTTATATATAAATATTACTTACAAGTACATGCACTTCTCCAGGCACCTCTGGAGCAGGCTCTGGAGCAGGCACATCCTGTTGAAAAATGAACACGGTTTTATTGTGCTGCAAATATATATATATATATGTATATATAAACACAAATAAATACTAGCTGAAACATTGAAAATTAAAAAAAAATAAAATATAAAAATTACATGACTGATGTTATATATAAATATTACTTACAAGTACATGTACTTCTCCAGACATCTCTACTGTTGGGCATTGCGGAGACCCACTGGCTCTCTTTGTATCCACAGGAATATTCTGTTGAAAAATGAACACGGTTTTATTGTGCTGAAAACATTTATATATATACAAACACAAATAAATACTAGCTGAAACATTGTTTTGCCATATACATTATTCCTAATAAATGTTTTATTAGTTCAATAGGAAATAGCTAACACTATGAGTGTGAAAATTTGAAGTTGTTTGAATTTTTCAACGCTCAATCATAATAAAATTAAGAAAAATTAAAATAGAAACGTTACATGACTGATGTTATATATAAATATTACAAGTACATGCACTTCTTCTGGTATGTAGAAGAGAGACCCATCGGGTTCCGCAATGCACACCGGCATGTTCTGTTGAAAAATGAACATGTTTCTATCCGAATGTTTCTATTTATCTATATGACTGATTTTATACATAATATTACTTACAAGTATCTCCTCTGCATCATATTCTTCTACCAGTTCCCCATGGTCTTCATCGATATCCAGTTCTTCTTCGTCGAGAAGGACATCGATGAACTCCTGGGGAACTGGCTTATTTCCAGGGTTCCACATGCTGAAAACGAAAATAATAATTGTTACATACCAACAAATTTACTCTACTATGTAATGATTATCCCTATCATATATAATATCATATTATATTGTAATATATATGATATGATATGGATAATATACATTCTGTAGGGATAGTATATAGACAATAGGTCATATTATATTATTTTATATCAACAGAAATTGCTATATACATATTGAATTTGATTGATTTGAAAAATGAAAAAAAAAACTGATAAATACTTCCTATGATATTACCACCATATAAATCTATCTGTATCGATAGCCGGATCGATAAAATTCTTGCAATCACTGCAAATATGTAAAAATATGGCGAAATATTTGAATTGTTATACAGGTTTTGGGCCGTTTTATGAACAATTTTGTAGGTTATGATAGCAATGTGATAGGAAAAATGAACAAAATCTTGAAGAGTACGAAAATATCTCGTAATTTCATTAGAATTTTACCGTTTTCACTTAGATTTATCCGTAAATATAGACATTTATATTTACTACTTTGTCTGTACTTTTCTACATCATGTAGATTTCGAAATATTTTTAGCGTTTATTTTTCACTTTTATGCCACAAATTATATATCTACGGGTTTGTTACATTACAAGGAATACAAAAAAGTATAATACTTACGTTTTAATTCCAGAAATAAATTAAAAATTGACGACAAAGACGCAACAATATGACGCGTGGAACGCCGGAAGAAAAGAGTAATTTAGGGATGTTCGATGATCATCGATGTTCGATGATCATCGATGTTAGAAATTAAAACATCGATGTTTTAACATCGATGTTGCCACATGCTAAACATCGTAACATCGATGATACCACATGTCAAACATTGAAACATCGATGTCAATGAGCCAATAATTGATTAATAAGAACTTGTGAACAATGCGAACCCGCGAAATCAATATCAACTAAATATTTCATCTCCTATTAAAGGTTTAAAATTTTGAATAATTTAGGATTCTTAAAGGCATCAATCACCTGAAAAATATCATTATGTTGTGTCAAACTCCCTCTAAAGTGTGAACCGTAATGTCACTGCTTTCGCTTTGTTATTCTGTAGTATCATTGTCACCTAATAACTATTCTACATAAATTGATATACAAATAATGTTTTTTCTCTTGCTGTCTATACATACATAATTTTGAAACAATATGAATATACACAATCCAATTATATTTAGCTGTTTTTTGACCTAATGAGTTTATTTTTCGCTTGAAGTTTATGAAAATAAATCACTGGGCGATTATGAGCTTAGAAAATTTCACTGCATAGTGCATTTTACAGTGCATTTTATAAACGGCTGTGGATACTTATTGTGTGGGCTGTCTGAGAAAAAATAGTGAACAAAGGTGAAGGAAAAGTCTAATATTTTGTTTTTGTGACGTTTGCTAATTCGCCCTCTATAATCAGATTTTTTTTTATTTCGCGATAGGAGTGGTTAATATAGAACATAGGTCTAAATCGTAAATTAGGTCTCATAGTAAATTTTTTCGTAGATTTTTGGTTGTATAGGAACATTTGAAGATCAAAATAATAACATTAATCATTATCGGCAAAAAATATAACAAATGAACTAAACATTTGTTAAGTTTTGCCCATTTTTTAAATTACTATTTAGAACTAAATGTTTTATATATTTCTTTCATTTCATTAATAATAAACTATAAACTACACTATAAATTTTTTATTTATCTAATTTTAACCTACTAATTAGGTAAGTAGTAGGTACATGTGCAATAACATCGATAATGGCCAACATCGATGTTTTAAGTACGATAAACATCGAACATCGATGTTAAGCTATCGATATCAACATCGATGTCATCATCGATGTTTCTGCAACATCGATCATCCCTAGAGTAATTTATTTCTAGTTTTTTCTTAGTAACATTGCCAGGAAAAGATATCAAGTCATAGAGCCTATCTTTGTCTTTGCTTCTATTATACATTACATGTTGTTTTTGGTTTTTTTTTAATTAAAAAAATTCTTTTTCAAAGGGTAGTACTTGTCGCCCTCATGTGGGCCACGATTGAGCGAGCGTAAGGTGTTTATTTCGTGGGCACATGAGGGCCTTGCGCGAGGTAACAGGTTAAAAATAAAAATAAATACTGTCAGTTCCCGCTTGTTTATCGTTATAAATATGTAATATACACACAACCATTGATATCCAAAAAACTTGTGTTTGGCACTGACAATTTATTGACGAAGTTAGGGAACTTCCCTTTGAATTCTTTAGTTAACACCAAAAACTCCACTTTCACCAAGCAAACTTAATACTTTAACAAGTTATCGAGAATGGTTTGTTTATATTTAGCGCGCCCGGTCGACAAGTAGTTGATTTTTATCGAATGAACGCTTCGACTTAACGTTATGTCACCTTGTCTACCAAGCGATCGAAAACGATTGATCACGTGATATTTCGAAAGCTTATGTCATTTATTTTACATTGACATCGGCTCTAAATGTATAATAATACATTTCCATTTTTCACGATGCGCCGAAATCCATAACAACCTGCGTCAGATGTCAAAATGAAATCAACCCGAATAAATTCCGATAGTCAATGCACAGGAGGCTGGAAGCCAATGATTTGTTCTTTTGCGCAAATGCGCAAAATTTCATACATTTCGGAGTTATATAATTTCGCTATCGTTATTGAAAATGTAACTTTCTCTAGGGCCCCTGAGCGTCTAATAAAGCGGTATCGTAGCTTAGCTCTGATCAAATCGGTCGACAACTCTCCTCGACGCTGCGGTGTAGGCATACCGAAGTCGGACAATTTCTTACCGGAAATCGTTTTTGCTATCTATATGTCTCAGTGCTTCATTCAAACACAGATCATTGTTGACTTGATCCATCCTTTCAAATCTATACAAGATATCCTCCGATAACGAAGCTTTATACTTATCCTATAGTTGAAGAGGATTGGATAAACCGCAAGTGCATATCAATATTGCAAATAGTTCTCTTATTTGCGAAGGAGAGCGACACAGCATGGCCTCTTTCATTGTGGCATCCCAGTGGTTGTCATCTTTCAAATTTCCCGCGCGCTCTGTTCGACCTCGTAGCCTTAGGAATACGGTTGTGATACATATATGGAGAGAGACATATTGAATTGCGCGATTCGTTGTTTCTCTTGCACGCGTTTCTAACCTGTAGCAAAATGTTCTATAATGAAATATAACTACGATTGTATAAATAGCAATTAGTATGGAGATAAAAAGCCCGGCTTTTTAGTGACCACTAATTTTTTCCTACGAGCGGGACGCCTTTAAAATTATTATAGTTTTAACCTTTTGAGCGCCAAAGTCGCCTATACTTGACCAGCTTCTGCGGGCCCTGAGCGCCACGATGTCTATAATTGACAAAAAACCCGGCCCACAAAAATACGAAATATGGGTATTGGAAAATATTACTGGTATTTTAATTCTATACTCCTCAAAAAGGAATAACCCAGCAACATGTGAGTATAAAAAACAATTTTCCTAGAGCCACAAGTACTAAGAAACATAGAGCTAAAAAAATGGATTTTTATCTAGGCAAATACTATGTCCAGCACGCCAAAGTCGTCTATGGTTGACCACTAGTGTCGAACGCGGGAGTAGATCATGATAAAAAATTAGCAAGCAGCGTAGATTTCTTGAAAACTATCGAAATTCAGCTCAAACGTGTTATTTTTTTTCTATTATTATTGATATTTGAATAAAACAAAAGGTAAGTGTAATGAAACACAAAACTATAATTAGCTACATGAATAAAAAATGTTATCAAATCATTTTCGCATAATAAATCTTATATCTCAACTCTGGCGCATCCTTAACGCGTCATCGAAAATCAGTTCACTGGGCGCAGTGGTTTAGCGACGATGAACGATTCCTCAAAACTCATTCGCATTTTGGAAAGCGTCGATGATGATTAATTTTGATGGATGAATTTAATTTTTGATTGATTGGTGAATAATTATGTACCATTTGTTGATTTCTATAATAAGTACTGTTTTTTTTATTCCATGACCAAGATTTTAATATTATAAGACTGATTTACCTAGTGCGAATAATTATATACAATTGTTGATTAGTGAATAATTATGTATATATTTTATAATTGTGTAAAAATTACAAATAATAAATGTGTTTTTAAGCTATTGCATAGCTTCTATCGCGGGCCTTGAGCGTGGGGACCGAATCCAGAAATTTATTCCGCCGTAACGAAAAAACCTCACGCTCCCCACTCCGACGGGCACGGAGGTGTGGCTTGAAGGCCGTGCATTGTCTAACGTCGTTTCTTTTTTCGGCAGTCTTCGACACGGTGTTTGTGTATAAAGTGTTTTGAATATGAATGAACAAAGTGCATTTATTATTAATGAAGAAAGTCACGAAATAATAGTGAAAGAAAATGAGTGAGTACTCTATATACATACATTTTATTATTATCACAAATGCAGTACTAATTTTGAATTGAAAATACTGCTATAAAGATAACCTAAATTTTTGATATTAAAATGAGCGATATTAAAAGTAGCCCTCTTTATACCAATACACACACACGCGTATAGTTTAAATTCTCAATTTAGATTCTCATATATATATATATATATATATATATATATATATTAGAGATGGGCCGAAATTCGGTACAAGAAAAATAATACCTACTTGCACTTATTTTAACTGAAATATAAGGTGCTTCTAAACTACAATATGCCATGGCTGCAACTGGTGGTTCTACTCATGATACTGTACCACTTTCCCCAAGGAACCCATAGTCAATGCTCAAAAAAAATTGCACTTTGTATGGAAATCGGTCAGCTGATTGGCCAAGTCTCCATACAAACAACCGTGGCATATATTTTAGAAGCACCTTATATAACAACATTAGATACTGTAAAATAAAAGATATTATTTTTACTCATTCATGGTCAATTATTTATTTATTTATTTCGGAACATTGTAAATGTAAACCTTATATTAA